GCTGATCACAACAGATTTTTTTTCTTTTGTGATTTTAGATAATACTAACCCCGATTTCCCCTCTACTTACACTTCGGTGTGTGTGTGTGTGTGTGTGTGTGTGTGTGTAAGAAAGTGAGCAAGAGAGAATTTCCTACTCTATTCCAGATAAAAATGATCAACTCACATGATTAGATTATGACAATAATAATGTAGTTCATGGGTTGCACGTACCTGAGCTGTGCCACCACCTGCTTACACATGCCAGAATATGTTGATAATCAGTCATGATTGTTTCCCAGTGAACGTTCATGCCAACTGGAACCATTCTCAAGACTACCTTTTGTCCACCCACTACCAAACCTCTCGATACAGCAAGAATGATGCAACCTATTAGCCCCTTGATCAGTCTGACTTCTCCCTGAGGATGGAATCTCCTTCCATATAAACCTTTCTAGAAAATTGTGCAGCCTGAACACTTCTGAAGATGGTCTCACTTCTTTCTAAGCATCTCACTCTGGTTCATGCTCAGCAGTTATTGTCAGTCGCTTGGTCCTTGTTTATGCCAGTTTTAGTTGCTGAAAACAAGAAAAATTGCCGGGTGAAATGTATTTTAGGACATATTTCCCCTGAGGGGGCCCACAGGGAACAAGCGGGACATCTGTAATACTTTCAACAATAAAGATAAATTTAAAACAAACAGAAAATAAAATAAAAATGCACTTGTGAACTGTCAAGTTGGAAGGAATCCCAAGGGCCCAAACTAAGCGAAAGCAGGGAGCTGGAGCGATCAGTGGAGCACTGGTTATATCTTCTTGTTAGCCTTTGCTAGACAGGTGAACTTGAGCTTTGATTTTCAGTCACAGGGACATTTAAGAGGTAGAAGCCTGGACCTGCTCAAGATGAAGAATCAAATAGGGGCTCTGCTACCACACCACCCAAGGCTGGGGTCAGCATCACCCTTCAGTGTGAGGATTAACTAGAAATAACCTCCCAATTCTACTCTCCTCTTACTCAGACTGGGGACTCCCGGGAGAAGTATATATATATTTAAAACTTTGAGCCAAGTGGAAGATGAAAAAAACATCTCTGAGAATCTGTACCCACAGCTGGCTCCTGCACACATGTGCAGTGTGAGGTGATCCAGAATCTTCAAGTAGAGGAGGTGGTTTAAATTGGGTCCTTGGTTGGTAGGGCCCCAGGTATTGACAGAGGTAACTGTTCTGGAAGGCTGCTGCTAACTTAGCTGCAAAGTATTTCTGTAGATAAAGTTAAAAAAAAAATGAAGGCACAGTATATTTTTAAATTAGAAAACCTGCAAGAAAGCAAGCCACCGTAAGTGAGTCAGTAGAAAGAACAGATAGCAGAGCCAGGTATCAGGAACTTGAACTTTTTTAGGACTTGAACTTTTAAGACAAATGCTATGACATAAATGTGATTAGTATGCTTAAATAAAAGAAGGTGTTTGAATACAAATAAAAGTCAAGAGACTATAAAAGATTCAAGAAAATCTAGCCCTGTCAGTGTGGCTCAATGGTTGAACCTCGACTTTTGAACCAAGAGGTCATGGTTTGATTTCCAGTTAGGCTACATGCCTGAGCTGTGGGCTCAGTCCCCAGTGGGGGGAGGTATTCAGAAGGCAGTAATCAATGATTCTCTCTCATTGAAGTTTCTATCTCTCTCTCTACTTCTCCCTTTCCCTCTGAAATCAATAAAATATGTATTTAAAGATAAATTAAAATACCAAGCAAATTTAAAGAGAACTTCTAGAAATGGGAAATAAAAATACAAATTTCAAAGCTTAATGAATCAATACAAAATTGTCACAGAGGAGGGTCACAAAATAAGAGAGACTTTAATAAACTAGAAAATAGAGCAGAATAAATTACATAAAAATGCAATACATGAAAGATAAATTAAGATACATAAAGAAGGTCAATAAAAGTATAATCAGAATCCCAGAAGGAAAGATGTAGCAGGTCACTACTCATATTTGAAGAAATAAAACCTGACACTTTTCCAAAACCGATGACAGGTACCAATCCACAATTAGGAGGCTCAAAGTACTACCCCAAAAAGGATAAATCAGAACAAACCTATTTATTTGTATCAAAAAAAAAGCCATGAAAGGCAAAGAAACAGTTTTAGAAAGCAGAATATTTGTCCAAAAGAGATATATGAATGGCTAATAAGTATGTGAAAATATGCTTAGTGTCATTAGTTAGAGAAGTGCAAGTGAAAACCATAATGAGATACCACTTTCTACCCGTCATAATGACTATAATGAAAAAGACAGACAATAACAAATTCTGGTGAGAGTATGTGAAAGTTAGAGCTCGCATATATTGCTGGTGGGAATGTGAAATGCTACAGTCAATTTGGCAAATGATTTAGGATTTTCTCAAAATGCTAAACATACCGTTGCCTCATGGCCTAGCAATTCTACACCTATGTATATACCCAAGAGAAATGAAAACATGTCCACACAGGCTGGTGCATGAATATTCATAGTAGCATTATTCATAATAGCCAAAATATAGATGCAATAAGAGTGCCCCTCAACTGGTGAGTTGATAGACAAAATGTGCTGTATTCATGCTCGGGAATATTACTCAGCAATAGAAGGATGAATCTTGAAACACTGTGCTACGTGAAAGAAGCCAGACACAAAGTACATGTATTGTGTGATTCCATTTATACAAAATTCCCAGAATAGGCCAATCTATAGGGACAAAAAGTAGATTATTGTTTGCCTGCAGCTGGGGGTCGAGGGTGGGAAATGGAAGACAGCTAATGGTTTTAAGCTTTCATTTTGAAATGAGGAAAGGTTTTATTTTGAGATGGTTCACGTGTAGAACCAAGATGATGATGTGAAAATACTAAAAACCACCAATAGTACACTTTAGTGAGGTGGATTTTATGGTATGTAAATTACATTTCAATAAAGCTATCAAAATTACAGCTAATGAAAGATTTCATAACCTTTAAAGGAATGAATTTGTAGACATTAAGACAAAGAAACCATTTTTTAGAGCTAAACATTGGTAGAACTATAAGGAAGAACTTATTATTTCACCATTGAGTAGGTCTTTTTAACCCACCTTTAAGTGATTAACAGATGAGGCAGATTCCAAGATCGAAATATGGAAGATTGAAACTACTCATCCATCTCCCTTCCTTCCTCTCTCTCTCTCAAATCAGTAAACATACCCTTAGGTGAGGATTAAAAAACAAAACAAAACTCTTTCCAAAGTTGTAATAAAATGCAACTTTCTGAAACCTAAGAGCGCCTATAAAAAGCTAAAACAAACATGAACGAACATTCATGGTGAAACATTGAAATTCTTCCCTTTATGATCAGGAACAAGACAAAAGGAATGATCATTTCCACCAGCTTCTCTGCCTGTTTTTGCCCGCTGTGTGTTTGGTATGGCTTCCTCGGAGCACAGCGGCTGTAGGATAGCTGACTTCTAGCATGGTGGCTGGCTGCCAGCAGGAGGAGACCGAAGCTGCCATTCCTTCTGCAGGCAGAAATGTAGGACACTGGTGACATAAGATTGGCAAAGCTGTGGAGTGATGAGCACACCGTGCCTGTGACCATGAATATCAATGTAACTGCTTTGGAAAACATTTGTTTGTCTAGTGAAGTTGAAGGTGTGTATACGATGTGGTCCAGCAATGAACTGTTAGATTATTTTTACTATACCAGTATGTACCAGGTGATATGTAGAAGAATGTTCAGAACAATACTTTAAAAAATATATTTTTATTGATTTCAGAGAGGAAGGGAGAGGGGGAGAGAGAAACATCAATGATGAGAGAGAATCACTGATCGGCTGCCTCTTGCAGTTCCCCCGCTGGGATTCGAGCCTGAAAACTGGGCAGTTCCCCAGACCTAGAATGAAACTGTGGTCTCTTGGTTCATAGGTCGACACTCAACCACTGAGCCACATTGGCCAGGCCCGAATAGCACTTTAATAGGAAACAAACAAACAAACAAACAACACCTGGAAACAAATCCAAATATCTATCAGCAGCAGAATGGACAAATAAACTGCGGTAAAGATTTACACTGGAATACTGTTCTTCAGTGAAAACAAACAAATTGCTTGTACAGTACACGATTAAATCTCCAGGACATAAGATTGAGTAGAAAAAAGCCTAACACATAAAAAAAAAAAAATCCCACAAAACATACACTGCAAACAAAGTTAAAAACCTAAATACTAAATGATATATCATTTACAGATGGGAAAAAAAAATCATGGTAAACCGAAAAGACAAGCAAGAAAACTATCAGCATAAAACTTAGAGTGGGAATTATTTCTGAAGGGGGAAAGAAGGAGATTGAAATGGATTGGATCCCAGATATAATAATATAAAAGATCTAATAATCTTTTTTGGTGAATTGAATGATGGATATTACTTGTGTTATTTTCTCTTATACTTTGTATATATTTTATTTCTTTTGTATTTTCTCAGTATTTAAAATAAGCAAAAGTACTTATTTTTTGGGATGGGGTGGGGTGAGAATTCTCTTTTGTCAAAAAATGCCTTTGATTGATTGTTTCCACCATGAATTGTAGAGAAGTCCAGGTTATGTCTTAGGTTAAGTACCTTTATTAGCTCCCTGTTTACCCTTCTGAGAGTCTTGGTGAGTTATCTTTGATTTCATAGATGAACAGTAGGTTTGGCCAGGAAGCCTTCTTTCCACTGTGAACCTTAGTTATCAGTGGGGTGGAAGGTGGAAGACTCTCTGCTGACTTTACCTTTCCGGCTTTCTACACTCGCCGCCACATTTGCAGAGCCTCTCCAGAACCCAAGACCGTGTGACTTCCAGGACCATCTTTTTCATCAAACCTGCATTGTTGGAATAATGATCACCGACTATGAAAAAGAAAAAGAAATAATTCATTGAAAGAACACACACACACGAAAAGGACTATAAGAGGAACTAGTAGTTTTCAAATAGAGGGTATTATCTGTGGCTTCTAATTTCTTGCAATTTTGTTGTTTTACAGATTGATCAGCTGAAGCAGGAACTTTCAAAGAAGGAATCAGAACTTCTTGCCTTACAAACAAAGCTTGAAACCCTTAGCAATCAAAATTCAGATTGCAAGCAACACATTGAAGTGCTTAAAGAGTCGCTTACTGCCAAAGAACAGCGGGCTGCCATTCTTCAAACCGAGGTAAGGCACTGGCTCAGGATTCTGGGCAGCAGATGCTGAGTTGATAGAAAATGTTCTACCTGAACAGCTTTCTTTAGAAGGTTCCTTATCCAAACCCTTGGGGCAAGGGGTGTTTTGGATGTCGGATATTTGGGTGGGTTTTGGAAAGATAAGACCTACTGCATGTATCGTAGACTGTGTATCACTCCCAGTGAGGTTGCTGAGAGTGCTATACAAACACATGGATATTTCTGCAGAAAAAGAAATTTTCACCCTACATGGATAAACAAACCCTCTGTCAGTTTACTTCAGGTTGTGCCAGTAAAGGGAGTTTGCTTCATACTTGGATTTTTTTTCTTTCATTTTTTCAGAGCTTTTCAGATTTGGGAATCACAGATAAAATAAAAGATTGGATCTGGAATGATTTTTATTTTATCAGAAATCATTTTTAAAAAGTCAGAATGTCATTTACTTTCCTTTTTGTGTATTTATATAGTTCATCCTCCTGGCACCTATGATTCCAAAGGTTTCTTACTTTCTAGAGAGTCCCCTTAATTTTTAATATTCTTTTACCCGTTGAAGAAAGTTGGTATTATACAAATTTCCTAAAGGAACAGTGGGTTTGTTATTTCTTTTTCACACCTAGAGAAAACAAACAAACATGTTACTATTCTATTTCCTTGCTTCTCCCCATTGGAATATATTCTGGCGATGGCTAAGGAATACAGGACACAAGCAACTTATTATGTAAATAAAACAGTTGGCAGAAAATAAATTATTTGTGTATAGGTGTGAAGGATGTGGTGAGTACCGATTTCCGTGTAGAGGCAACGTATGATGTGATCACTTTGGGAGAAGGCAGCCTAACGGAGATGCGTGTTCCCTCTTGTGCTCAGTTGCCCATGTCTTTGAATGTAGACGTCTTTGGGTCTGTGGGGAGATTTGGACTTGCCTTAGGCGTTCGTGGGCCATTTAGTAGGTCTGTGCCCGCAGTGGAGGTGCAGGCCACTGTTCAGAGGAGACAGGAAACAGGTTCCGGATTGGATAAGTTCTGGCATGAACCCAGTTTAGCCCCTATGCTCTTCACATTGGCTAAATTGCTTTTGTTTGATTGATTCACACCAAACAGTTATTTTAGCTTCAATGATGTAGTTATTCCACACTTAAGAAATACAATTTTCAGTTGTATGTGGTTTCATTCTGAATGTGGAAGCATGGATATTTTCTTTTTTTAAGGAAACATTTTAAACTATGCACATTGATTGGAAGGTGGCTTAAATCTGCTTTGAAGAGGAGCAGTGAGAAGCATCTACCACTATGCTATCAAATACTGGAGCCACTAGCCACCTTATGTCTATTAAAATTTAAATGATTAAAAATTAGTAACATTTAAAATGCAGTTCCTGGGTAAAGGGGCCAAATGCATGGTTGACAGAAGATGATTTGACTTTTGGTGGTGGCTACAAAATGCTATATATACACAGATCATGTATCATAGAAACCTATATATTCTTGAAACCTATATGATCCTATTAAACGAATATCACCTCATCTTACCTAATAATAGACAAACATGTAAATTGACTGGACCACCACTATGCACACAGCCAATCAGGAGTGAGTATGCAAATTAAACCAACAAAGATGGCAGGTTAATTTGCATATGCAGGTGTGGAACAGCAGGAAGGGGCAGAACACCTGACATGAGGGGTAGGAGGGTGGCAGAGGGAGCTACAGGAGCCGTGATCCGCCCAGAGCAAGAATTTGCAGGCTTTCGGGCAGCCGGGAGCGGGGACTTGCAGGCTCCCGGGTGACCAGGAGTGAAAGCAGGGGAAGAAAGGCTTATTCTTGCACGAATATCATGCAACAGGCCTCTAGTAAATTTAATAAAAACTAAAAAAATATTAAATTCTGTAAAATTTAAAATGTAGTTCCTTAATTACATTAGCCACATTTCAAGTATTTAATGGTCAGCTATGGCTAATGAGTGCTGTATTGGCTAGCACAGTGCTAGAATGCTACTTGTATCTAGCAAATGTTTAGAATAAGAGCTGAAAACTATGGCTTGTGGACAAATCCCACCCTCAGCCTATTTTTGGAAGTAATGTTTTGCTAGGACACAGCCATACTCATTTACTAGTATCTATGTGTTGTGCTTGGCTATAACCGCAGAATTGAGTAGCTGCAGACATTGTATAGTCCGCGAAGCTAAAAATATTTACTTTTTGGCCCTTTACAGAAGAAATTTGGCAATTCTTGGCTTTGTGATTTTGTGGGAAAAGAGCCGAGTGGGGATTGGAAAGCCTGATTTGACCTCTCTCTAACAGTCTTAATCTGAATGGGGCCAGATAATTTGTGACCCTCGTCATTCTTCACACTCGTTATTCATAAATCAACTGATCGTATCCACAGTTGTCTGAAGTTGGCAATAACACCAGCATCCATACTAATATATATAAAAGCTTAACAATGGTTACAACAGGTTCATCCATCGCTATGACGCACACTGACCAGCTGGGGACAGATGCTCAGTGCCCCCTGGTGGTCAGAGCACTCCCACAGCAGACTTCCTTAGGCCAGCCAACCTCCCATGGTCCCTCTCCCTGTCCGGCCAGCCCTGATCTGCCCTGATTGGCCCTGATTACCAGCCAGGTGGAAGGACTCCGGACTCGTGCATGAATTCCTGCACCCGGCCTCTAGTTACTAATAAAGGTAGTGTGATTGTGTTGTCATATGTTGGGTAGGAGGAGAATTGAGAAGCAAGGCAGTCTGTTGAGGAATTGCCGAAATAGACAGTCCGCTACTTGTGATTTCTCTCCAAGAGGGAGGAATGAGAAAAGTCAGCCCCGAAAGGCTTACTTCCTTTCTCCTGCTCCCTTGCACTGAGGAGAGCTGTATCCCCAGCCCATATCCCTTTTCTTATCCTCCCCTGGGTGTTTTCCCTCTGGAATGAATGTAGTCACGTTAGACCTATGTATATTTCATGAAAAAGACAGTGGTGACATTATGCGGATAGCTTCCATCCCACGCTCAATAATTAAAACGACCCAATAAAAAAAGACGGTCCTTTGAAGTAGAAAAATTATTCACCATGTGCAGAGAAAGTGAGGTGATTTTCTCGTCTTCTGCTTTGAAGTTCAGAGTGTGTGATTAACGATTTTATCAGCTGGAGACATCAGAGGAATTTTCTTTTTTTTCCTTTTTCCTTCTTTTAAGATCTCTGTAAATAAAAATGGAGACAGTTACCCAGTGATGTCCATCTCTTAGGGGAAGCAGTTTCACTTAAAATTTGCTCTAATTGTTGGGTCACAGGCAAAGGATTTCTTGGTAACGGTGAAATATATTAAAGCGATTTCCTCACCTCTAAAGAGTCCCCTACCTTAGCGGATGAGTATTCAGTAGATATGTTATGTCTCATTCTGCCCGAATGACAGATCAGGGCTCATCCTCGCAGGAGGTTACATGTGATAGCTCCTTCCAGTTTGATTCCTGAGTCACTCCTTAAGAGCTTTTGTCAAAACAGGAGAGGGTTCTTTCTAGAATTAGAAGAAACTTTCTGGTTTCTCTGGAAAATTTGTGCTCCCAAATGATTTTAGCTACTCTTTTAGGATATGGTGTACATAACAGATGCCACTGGTTTAACAGTTCCTCTCTGCCAGGAAGATTGTTACCGTCAGAGAATGTTCGCTTGGGAGGCGTCAGGACGAAGAGCGGGACAAGGGGTGGGAGGCAAGTTGTCTGGGTTTGAGGCTGTGTGGCTTGGCTCCTGGGTTGGTTGTTTTAACTTGCATAAATGCCCAGATGCTCTGCCATGTGAGCAATAAATCAATGGAGTAATAATTATGCACACAGAGGGATACACCACATAGCTCTTAACATAACATTTTATTTTTTAAAATAGCTTCAAAGGACCCCATAGCCAAGTTTCTTATTTTGCTACTTTCCTGGATGCTTTTTTATATACCAACTTTATCCACATCCTCCAACATTAATTACATGGCAATAGAGATGATAAATTAGTTTTCTTGAGCACCTAGGTTTTTCTTGATTTCAACACATAAAATTACCTGCCTGGTAGTGTGGCTCAGTGGTTGAGTGTTGACCTATGAACAAAGTGCTCTCTGATTTGATTCCCGGCAAGAGTACAAATTGCTGGCTTGATTTCCAATAGGGGGAGTGCAGAAGGCAGCTGTTCTATGTTTCTGTCTCATCAATGTTTCTTATCTCTGGATCTCTCTCCTTCTCCCACTCTCTCAAATCATTAAAAATATTTAAAAATAATTCTAACATATCCAGAAATTTAGAAGAGAGGCCTAGATATTATTCTATGGTCTGAATTAAAATGTTGTGTGAAGAACACAGCGTTTAGAAGTGGGAGGTATGTGGACACACTTTAGCCTTCCCATTGGATAACTGTGATGTGGATAAGACTTGAACTTCTCTGAGCCTCCTTGTCTTGACCTCTAAAATGGCAGTCTTTGTGTCAGCCTGATGCATCTGTGTGAAAAGTGCTTTAACTCTGGTAAAAGGTTTTAGCTATAAATTGTGTTGATTATCATTATCGCTGTTATTATTTTTATTGTATCTCACTGGTGTTTGGGGAATGTTCCAGCTCACTTCTCTTTCATCATCCATTCTGTGTGTTCCGCCTTTGTGGGTCATTTTTGAGATTTTGGTGTCCACAGATACGGAACTCAGACTTTTATATTTCAACGGAGTCGGTTTTTCATGAAGTTGCTATAAAAGTGCCATCTGAAGTAAAATGTCGTGTGAAGAACACAGCATTTAGAAGTGGGAGGTGTGTGACATACTTCAGCCTTCCCATTGGATAGCTGTGACGTGGATGAGACTTGTACCTTGAATTAAGGTTCATATTGCTATGAAAGTCTGAGTTCCGAATCTGTGGACACCAAAATGTCCAAGGAGACCCACAAAGGCAGAATTTAGAGGTTTGTTAGGGCTTTCCGGAAACTTTTCACCAGCCCAGCATGTTTTGTAACAGCCAGATGTGACAACTCCTT